ATAATACAGACTATATCAAATAAATATGAATAACATTTCTCAAAACATGTGGATAACACTAATAATAAAAATATTATTCGTTTTTTTTTATATAATAGTTAATTTCACAGCAGGATATTTACAGTATATGTGTTTAAGACCTAAAATGTGGCATTGAGTGTTGATATACATATTGAACAAATCTAGCGCAAGTTGCCACAGCGGAAAAGACAGTCATTCAAATCCAATAGGAAACAGTCAGCCTGAGACTGCTGGAGGGAAAGTGACAGATCCATTGCCCAATTTTCAGTATGTAAATATGAATGAAATTGACACAAATACAGTGCGTAAATGCAAATTTCACGGTGAATGAGCACAAAATACATCATATGAAATTCTATTGAGCTTGGATAACGTAATTAAGTTCATAGTTAAAAAGACATAATCGACGATAGCCATTCTATGTACTATTGAATATTATCAAAACGACAAATTTAAAAATGGGTCACATCAGCCTGCATTAGCTGAACAGATGAGCCATCGAAGAACGATGAGTTTTTGATGAACCAGCATTATGTCATCAAGTAAACATCAACAACAGTTCTTAGTACATGAATAACTCTATTTTGTTACCATTGTGCTGTGCAGTGATATTGTTAGTTTATACTCACCATCTTTGTCTGAAACGCCGCATGGCACATGGGCAGTAACTGACCCTTGTAATTCATAAGGTTTAAAATATGGACGAAGCTTTGGGTCAAGCTCGAAGGAATGTATTTCATATTCATTTGCATCTGGGTAACTCTCCTTGAATAATTGGACAGACGATGCAACATTTCCCCCACAGTCCAAAAATATTTTTCGTTGTTTTGATGAAATATCTTCTTTCTCTCTGAGAAATAGAAAAATGACTTCATGCAAGTACGTGATCTGTGTCATGCATGTACAATGATATTTATCAAACGTCATTTTTGACAGATATTATTGTGTCTTGTCAACAGAAATTGGAAAATTGTGTCTTATATTCATATTTCTCCACTGTCATAATTATGAGATCAGTTCAAATCCGTAATCCCTGAATTCTCAAGTCCAAACATTACACCCCCAAATGATTTACTAGTTACATTAACAGTGTCTGCTTATAATGAGCATAATCTACATCACTGGTAGAAACATTAGAGATGACACTATGCTTCCTGGGTTATAACTTAAGATGTTTTAAAATTACAAGCGAAGTGTTCTTAAAGGCAACAGTATCAATGTTGATGTATATTAATTTATTGGTATTGAAACACAACCAAAATATAAAGCCTATTATATAAACACATATATTTTAGTTCTGCTTTCATTGAATATGACAGATTTGAGCTATTTGCATAATATATACTGATTGTCCATCGTCGCCCGCCATAGTTTGTCTATTCTATTCAAATATTTATTTTTTTTATTTCAACTAGACCTCTATTGTAGTGGTGACTTTGGCTTTATATGTTGTCATTAAATATTAAATTTAGTTGTATGTCTTTAGTGAACAATCCAATGGTTTCGTTCAAGTTTGTTCATTATATTACAATAAATCAATTTTCAAAGTTTAGTGAATATCTGTCTTGTGAATCTGGGAACTGAATTATATGATAATTAGTTTAAAATGATGGTTCAATATTCATTTGCATGTCGATATGCGAATCTACACACCAGTTGAAAATTGCGCTATATGTACCAGTAATGTCAGCAATATTACAGAACAGTTTATAAGATTGTGAAATTTTCCTCTGGTCACACAGAGTAAAACATGGCATGTTTCTTGTATTTTTCATCGCCACTACAGGTTTAAATATATTCAGTTTTGCTTGCGAAACAATATTCTAGTAAGCCGTACCTGTCTATGAACCCGGAGCTTGTCAGCCATTTGTAGTACCATGGCAACCACATGACGACTATCAGTGCAATAAGTAATGACAGCTTTGTTAAGAATCTCATACTATAGTTCTTCTATCTATGCAATCTGTAAAATAAATCCTGCAAACTTAAATCTTAGAAAAAAAATATATTTCTGCACAACACTTGGTGAAGGTAGGAGTCACTCCACGCAGAGCTTCTAAATAATGATCTTTATTCGCATTCTCAGAAATGTCCCTTTCTTTAAATAATTGCCGTTACATCAACATTACGTTATTATTATTATTATTATTATATATTGATATGTAAAACAATAATGCCAGCTTCCAATAGAACACATCTGAGCTAAATTTACTCCTTAAAATATTATCACATTCTTTTGTTGTAGGGTTGGATGGGTGGTGTTGATACAAATCGGAAAATGTCAGGACCAGGTTACTAGATTATAGTTATCAAAACATTGATATCATCAATTATTTGAGTTAAGGTATAGATGCAGGTTCATGTGCACTTGGGGTGAATTTTTTATTTTTTTTGCTTTTTATTATCCAAACAGTCTTCCCTATAGACTGTTAAATTGTGAATAGTGGAACATACTCAAAAGACGATTTTCAAATATAGAAAACATGTACAAACATTTTCGTTTTTGAATGCTTAACAAGATTTAGCAAGGCTGTACATAAATAATCAAAAAGAAAAATGGTTAAACACTATATTTAACTTTTTACAAAACGATAATAGTTTTAAATTTGGGACTGTTACAGCCATTTTAAATATGAGCATTAGCAAAATTTTCACTTAGTGAATGGTTATGCAAATTATCCATTATCTCCACTTGTGTTTTTCAGTTTACAAGGGAAGTTAAAATCTAAAGCTCTCACAATTGTTGTTATTTCAAGTGAAATTTTCACACTACGTTTATCAGTTGTTTATTAACAAATCGGCGTCCAGGCGTATATATAGTTCAAAAAGTTGTCAAGCAGGATATATGCCGTATATCTAATTCTGGTCAATATTTCACACTTCGAATGTCATTGTCCGAGAATGCAAAGCTTTTCATTTTGTTCACAGAGACGTCGTCGAAATAGTATGAAAATCTCAAGACAAACTGACAAAAACTGTGGAAGCTAATTATTTTTTGGATCGTCAGATAACAATTTTTTTTACAATTATAGGGAAACGGACGTAAAATCGTCCGCGAAGTCAAAACCTTCCACGAAAACTGTCGTTGCGCCGTGTTATTATTCCACTGAGGGAGGTGCGCTATGGATTACGTAAAGCCGATGAGATATTCATACAGTTGTATAAAAATAGCTATCGCCAATGGGTGTGTTGAGTCTAAATTCACCTTTCCTCAAACCTTTAAAAAAAATACTTCGTATGACACAGTTGTTCGCTACACAACGGCAATTCGCAGTTTTACTCCGCTCAAACGCCGGTGAGACAAATTCGAAATGAAGTCGCATTTGAAGGGAAACTATTGTAAATCAGACGAGACGGGTCGTTAAAAATTAAACAAACCCTGACCTCTGGAAACACCTCATTCATAGAGTGGCTTAGTACAAGAGGTCGCAGAGCACGGCCGTACAATGCACTTTGAGACATCGCTGCAGATACTCGACATCTCAATCCAAAAAATTTCAACCCGCTTTTAATTGAACAACTCGACCCAATGTCAACGAAGCCCTAATAAATTGACATCAGAATTCGGGTCTAAAACATTATCGCAGATTGAATTCACACGATTTCATTAACGCGTTTGATTCCTCGTAATATGTTTCATTCAGTATATTGTCCACGACGTCGTAAATAGTATTTATTATTATATTTATTATTAACTCTCAAGATGCATTTTGATGACAGCGTTTAGGATAAACGGTTAGCATGCTGCACCAAAAAGTACCGACTTAAAGCGATGCGTCTTGAACTGACCTTCGGGGTTGGACGATTCTGGTCGCCACTTAAATTTCGTTAAGTCACGGTCATTACATTTAGACCTACATTCAAAAACGCTTTCTCTATAAACAGTCCCTCCCACGCACTGTTTCAGATTTGGGTCCGATTCACACCTTTGAACAATAGCCGTTTCCAAACCGGTCTTAGAGGGACCGTGCTATGTATCACTTATCAGAGCGTATCGATGTGACCGAAATCTGAGACGCATACTGGTCCTGTTTTGGCAGACTATCTGCAGCTACAATTATAAACAACGCGGATGGGTATGGTGATAGTCCTTGACAGAAAGATGAGGCAAATAATGTCTACGTGTTGTGTCATCATTGCGCACTTCTTCTATAAAATCACGAGGTTCATGGTCGTTTATTATGCGTTTTTCACTAATAAAGTAATTCGTGGGAAGCGGCGAATGAATGTTTTTCATCTTCCATGCATATACTGGTATCGCGGTACAATTCGTTATTTCCCGTTTCACGTGTGTCGTCGTTGATTCCAATTGTTTCTAAATTCCAGTTCTGTAACTTATCAGTTTCTTCATTGCAGGTGGTCGCGGCTATGTGTAACATTGTAGTATTCGAGTTCGATTTCTCCTTTCTACCGGCAGGACCTGATAGGATATACTCAAATTTTGACATTACAGCTTTCGGACCTGGCCCACCACGGATAATGTGATTTTTTCACAATACTGCAATAATAATAAGCTTCTATCAGTACGATTATCTCGAAGGAATCTACATTAGATACCGGATGTGCCTGCTGTAAACCTCGTAAATGTCGGGGGGGGGGGCTTAAGAGTGCTTGATCAAATTATTCATAGGAGTCGACGTCTTTGGTACAATGAAAGCGGCAACCCTGTGGGACCCATCTAATGTTTCTAACTTGAAGGTTGCTTTGTCATAATATCGGACCTATAATTAAAATCATCATCTCCGAATGT